AATATCCGATGTTGCATTAGCAGTAAGTCCTCAGAAATGTTTAGGTGTATAGAAATGTAAAGCATTTACACTTCGCGAATAATCTAGAAAAAACATTTTAAATGAGTATGGGACCTATACAGATTTATAGGAAAATGTACAAACATACACTTTGTCTTGCTATCTGCACTTAATAATACATAACATAATGAATGGCGTAAAAGAATTAGCACGACTGCATTGTTGCTAGCACATTATCTACCAAATCCAAGATAACTTGGGCCACATTCTTCCAAATTTAAAATAAACCCAAATATTGAAAACCAAAATTAAACCTAAACTCAAACCTAAATCGCAAATTCAAACATTACCAAACCACGCCTAAGATGTGCATTCCTATGGCAACGTTATGAAAATTGATTTTTCATCCTGATTCATTTCTGCTGGTGCTTGAGTGAAAAATAGAATTCGAAAACATCTAGTGGTTATTTGATTGACGGTCCAAATATTCACAAAGTTGTCTTTATGTGTAAATCGGCTAAAATCTAATAGATATCACTAGTGTTCGGAGGAGAGAACGAACGCAGAGGCACTCCCATGATCTAGTTGGTCTATTCTCTTACCAGCCTTGCCACTCAGAAATACCCACGCTTACTTTCATCGATTCTGTGACACTTCTGATTTAGTGTATTGTATACATTATGTATACCAAGGTCAAAAAATTAGATGCTAAGATCAATCATAGATTTTTGTAAGTCCCTATCAGATTTTACAGTAATATCGTGCCTGATTATATATGATCATACGAAAAATCGTTGTGTTTGCAATCTTACATCAGATCTTACACTAAGGTCCACATATGAGTGAACATTACGATACTGTATGATCATATAAGATCATATAATAAGACTACAACAGATTTTTTCACAGCCACACATTACTCACATTATCGATATTGTTAAATCTTGATGTGTCAAATATAATTCAAATTGACTTCACACCGTAAAGACAATTTTTGTTTGTAAAGATATTCATCGGTATATAGTCTGAAAGTCATTTGTTAAATAATCAAACCAATAAGGCAGCATTCAAAAAAAGTTATAAATAAAAAATTTCTTTTCTATATTTCTAATATAGAACAATAGAAATACTTTATGTCCAAGCATATAGTAGTATAAAAGTAAAATAATATAGAAAAAAACGAATAAAACAAAATTACCTTCTATATTACTAATATCGGTATAGAAAAGTAAGGAAAAATAATGTGTTCATGAATATAACTTCAAATAAATTAAATATTATATTTTCTATTTAATATATAGAAAAATAATAAAAAAAAATTTTTTTTTCTATATTATCAATGTAGAAAAATAGAAATATATGTGCAAAACATAAGGTAGAATAAAAGTAAAATAACATATTATTTACTATATTATCAATATCAATATATAGAAAAATAAGGGATAAGAAAAAAATTTACAAGTATACAATTTAAAACAAATCAAATATTGTTTTGTTTTCTATATTATATATATATATATATAGTAAGATAACAAATAAAATAAATTACTTTTTTATTATCAATATAGAATAATAACAGATAAAAAATTATTTTTTATATATTCGATATAAAGAAATATAAATATATGCCTACGTATATAGTAGTATAAAAGTCAAATAATATATAATCCTCTATATTATCAAGATACATAAATAAGGAATAAAAAATAAATGTACAAGCACATAGTTTAGAGTAAATCGAATATTATATATAGAAAAATAACAAATAGAAACACTTATTTTATATCTTTTCAATATAGAAAAATTTAAATATATGTGCCAACATATAGAAGAAAAAAAAAATAATGCATTATTTTCTATATTATCAATATCGATATAGAAAAATAAGAATGAAAATATATGTACAAACATATAGGTTCAAATAAGTCAAATATTATATCATTTTCCATATTATATATATATATATATATAGAAAAATAACAAATCAAAAAAATATATTATTTTCTATATTTTCACTATAGAAAGAAGCCAAATGAAACTAAGTCATTTCTGTATTATTGATATTAATATAGAAAACTAAGGAATAAAAAAATATGTTCTAGCACATAGTAGAGGATAAATAAAAAAAAATGTTAATTTTTCATCTCGTGATAGTCTTAGAAAAACTTCGACATCGATATTTTTTCGTCGAAATATTTTGTGAAGAAAAACATTCTCTATTATGTGAAGATTTCCGAGATACATCTGTACTTTGACTAATCTATTATACAAAGCATTTATTTGTGAAATCAAGCATGATTTTACGATTGCAATAATATAAAACATTGACTTGTACAATACAATTTTGTGAATTTTGTACATTTTTTATCATAGAAACTATTGAATCAACAATTCTCGAATAAGTAAAAGAACATGACAGATCATACAGGATCAAATAAGAGCAGACAAGACTTCGATTTCGTAATGCTGTAAGTTTCTTTTGTTTATGAATCCTATTTGATCGGGTAAGATCAAATCAGAGTCTTTTACTCTGTTCTCATACGTTCCTTAACCTCAGAATCGTATAAGATTTCCGATGGGATCTTTCATTCTGAATCTGACAAAAACTTTAAAAAAAATGAATCCATACAATATTGTCAGATCTTGTGGTAAGATCGTATAAAAGATTCATGTGTGCATAAGATCTTATAGGGCCTGATACAATCTAACATCCGTTTTTTTGACCTGGGTAATCTTCCTTTACCATGTGCTCTCATCTATATGGATTGAGCTTACTTTATTGTCCTTACTTTAGTGTCTTCAACTCATTATTCTTACCTTACTGTCCTTTTCTTGACTTATCTTTTTCTTCTTCCATGCTCTCTTCTTCTCTTTCCTGTTTGCGTATATAAACGATACGATTGTATGATATGAGGAATTACAACAAAGTGTATCTTCATCCACACTAACATCCTTTCTATCAAAAAGTATTACAAATTCTTTCTACCTTTCTCATCTAGAAATAAATAAGTGATAGCTTTGATCAAAGTTCAACAATCATGACTGATCTCATAAAAGTTTTCTTCATCGGTGGCACTGGTTATATTGGCGGCTCTGTTCTCGCTCGTCTTCTTCCTCGTCAAGACAAAGATCTTGACATCACTGTTCTCACTCGTTCACAAGACAAAGCAAA